AGGGGTGTCTGACGCCTGAGCAATGCTTCTGCAACACTCAGTGCAACCTACAGGTCCTCAATGCCTCCTTACACCAGGATAGTCAGATGCAGAAAGGTTTGTGTGAAATCAGGTGAGGATTCCCATTCAGGGTCAACCTAAGCCCTGGACCTGAGAGTCTCCAGCTAGCTCTACTGCTTCTAATGGTGGCTCCTGAGGAAGCAGTTAGGAACAAGCAAGTGGGGAGAGGAGTGTGTGCCGGAGAACCAGTTTGAAGTGTAGGCTGCACAGGAACTTGAAGCTAAACTCCATGTGGTATAAGGGATAATAATTATTAATGCCTGACATTTAAGTAATGTTTCATCATTTGAAAAATGCTGTCAGCTACTACTTGTAGCCAGTGCTTTAGAGACTAATGTGTCTGAAGAATATTTTGCTGGATGTAGGATTCTGTGTTGATAGTTCTTTTCCTCAGAACTTAAAAAAATGTGTCACATCTAGCCTGTGGCTTCTGGTGGGAAATCCATCGTTAATTAAACTGTTTTTGTTTTTTTTTTCTTTTTTTATGGGAAAGTTGGTATTTGTCTACAATCGTGTTTGAAATTTTGTCTTTCCATTTAATTTTCAGAAGTTTGACTATGATATGTCTTTGTGTGAATTTATTTGTGTTCAACATATTTGAATTTTGCTTAGCTCTTGAATCTAGAGTTAATTAATGTCTTTTGCCAAATTTGGAAATGCTCAGTCATTTTTCTTCACACATTATTACTAAGACTGATTTTTTTTGGCCTATTTTCTCTCTTTTGTTCAAATTGCATAATTTATTATTGTTTGATCTTCCAGTTCACTGATTTTTCTACTCTGCCCACTTCATTATGATGTTAACATCATCAATTAACATTTTACTTTGATTACTGTATTTTCAGTTCTAGAATTTCCACTGGCGTTTCTTTGTGCTTTCTACTTTAAGATTTTTTTTTTTGTTTTCTTTCCATTTCTTCATTTGTTCCAAGTGTGCTTATAATTACTCACTGAAGCACTTTGATCATGGTTACTTTAAGATTTTGATCAGATAATTTTAACATCTGCACCATCTCAGAGTTAGGATCTACTGATTTTTGTTTTCATTTGATTTGAAATCTTCCTGGTTCTTGGTATGATGAATCATTTTCTATTAGAGCCTGCACATGTCGGGTATTTTATTAGCAGACTCTGAGTCTCATTTAAATATTAGTTCTAGTTGGCTTTTCTTGACAGTCCTGCAGAGCAATGTGGGTTAGTGGGGAGAGGCTCCTTCATTCCTGCCAGGTGGCCCTAGAGTGTGCGTTCCCCTCTGGTCTGACTTTGCCACCTGAGGGGGAAGGAGACCCCCTAAAGCTAGGCAGGAATGGTGACTAGTCCAGGAAGCCTCCCTAACTGGGAGCTGGATGTGGTGTGAATGTTGAGTTCTCTTCCTGGGTGGTCTCCAGTGGCTGGGAGAAGGGTGCATGTGGCCTGTTACTTCTGGGCAGTGGTGAAAGTTCTCCAACATCCATCTGTATTACCCCAGTGCAGTGGGAAGGGTCTCATTCCTGCTGCTCCCTAGGGAAGAGCTGACTGAATTGATGCCGAGGGTGGGGAGCAGTCTGCTACTCTCTGCAGAGATGAAAGTCCTCACTCCCCTTTACGACAGGAACTTTGTTGCTGCTTTGCACAGGGAATGCCATGAGGGACACAGCAGTTGTAGAGCGGGTTTGCAAGGCAAGACACTGCTCCTTGAGCAGAAGTTCTCGTGCCATTTATTGAAATCATACAGAATAGTAGAAGTTGATCATGCAACAGTGGTATGAGGAATAGGGTCCCCAGGGTAGGGATAGGAATGGGGGACAAGGTTTTTCAAGGGACAGGGAAGGGGACATTGTGACCATGTGTCAAGAGACATTTGTGTCAGCAAAGTATGATGTTATCGCAGGCAGAGTTATCCCGAGACCTGCATGGAGACAGTCACGTAATCAGGTCAACAGCGGCTTGGGTGTCCCGGGACCTGCCTCACGATATGAGCTATACTTGGTAGGTGGCCAAGGAATGCTCTGCTGGGATTTGTAGATAACAAATAGATCACAGTTGCCCATGAGTGGCCAGCTCATAGGGACCCACAACTTCCTACTGAGTCTTCTCTGACACCAGCATGGCTCGGGTTTTGGGGCTTACTCACTAGAGCTCAGAAATGATAGAAACTAGGTCTCCCCAGGGGCTTTGATGGCACAGGTGGACTGGGCCACAGGTTTCTCCTTTTGAGCCAGGGAGGAGCTTTTACTGTTTGCAAATTTTCTGTGTTGCTGGTCTACCAAATTCCTGGTCCTGTGGCCAGAGAGACTCCTCTCAAGGATATTTGTCTCAAGGATATTTCTGGGTTGCCAGCTTCTTCAACTCCAAGTCTGGGATACATGAGACACCACAGTAGCATTCCTCCTAAGCTCCTGGCTGGTCTGACCGTTCTCCACCTTTCATCCTCTTAAGTGTGCTTTGTCATCTCCAGAGCTTTTGGTTGTACTGACCAGGGGAATGGTGTCAAGTGCATGTACTTTATCTTCCCATTTGTGGAAGTCCAGTGGTTTAATATTTATTATTATTATTATTTAATTTATTTATTTATGCGGGGGCTTCCCTGGTGGCACAGGGGTTAAGCTTCAGCACTATGAAGCAATCCTCAGCTATTGCAGCACGAGTTAGAGCTCAAACTCCAGCCAAGAAGGTGACTCACATGGCGCAGCAGAACTCTCCTGTCTCACCCACTGCTCCCCTCAGCAGTGTATTTCGGTAGATATGCCTGTTCTGCTCCCTGCTCTTTCTCTGGTAAATCCTCTCACCCCCTCTCTCCCCCCTCACCTCAGCACCTCTGCCTGTACCCCAGTTCTTGTATGCATATTATAATTTTTTAATGAGAATGAATCAAAGTCAAAGCACCCTATCTTATCAGTTATCTGTCACTATCAATATATTTCTTTTTAAAACAATGGTCAGGTTTTTGGTTTTGTTTGATGTCACTGAAGTGAGCACTTGCAGGCTTTTCCTGACAGCCTTCCTGAGGGCCTGGGTGCTGGCCCTTGAGGTGCCACTGTCAGCGCTGAGGTCTCTCTGTGCACACAGGTGCCTTCCTGGCCAGGCAGGAGGAGTCACAAGGAAAGCACAATCAATTAGAGGAAGAGGTGAGGGTGAAAATGAGGGAGGGAAAACGAAGGACAGAGAAAATAGGTGTGGGGGGGGGGGATCAGAGAGACCAAGTGCCCCAGGGAGGAAGGCAAACAAAAATAAATTCAGACTCTAGGGGCAAGGAGGGGCTGGCGCCCGGGCTCGCGGGCATCGCCTGGAGCGAGCGGAGCGGGGATGCGGGTGAAGCGGGTGAGCAACTTCAGAGTTCAGAGAGCCTTGGAGCGAGAGACCGGCGGGGAGGGGCCCGCAGAGCGAGGCGCGGAGAGAGAATTTCCCTCCGAGTCGCCGGCGCCGGGCGGGAGGGCTGAGCAGGAGTCCTGGGCTACTGACCCGCAGCTGCCGGGGCGGCGGGCATCGCCGGGCAGAAGGCGGGCGCTTGGGCCCACCTCTCTCCTAATCCGAGGGGCGACAGGGAGGGGACCCTCGGGGGCCTGTGGCGCGGCATCCGGCGTGTTCCCTTCGGGGAGGAGCGTGTCTCCGCCAGCGCCGCGGCGGCCCCAGCTCGTGCGCCTCCGTCCCCGCGCGCGCGGCCGCATCCGCGCGTCTCTGCGCTCGGGGTCCCGCCGCCCGCCCGCCCCGGCCCGCGCTTCGCACCCTTCTCCGCGCGCACCAGCCATGGACGTCCACTCGCTGCTGTCGGTGCCGAGGTAAGACCCGCTTCCCACTTGGCCCGGCCCAAGGCAGCTTCCACTCGGCTCGGCGCCCGGGTCCTCGCGGACCTGCCCGGGGCGCCTGGGTGGACGCCGGCTGCCCCGCGGGGGACCGAGGACTCCGCGCCCGGGAAGACGTCCTGCCCGGCAGTGGGAGTCTCGGGGTAATCGCGGCTCCCTCGGGGCGCGGTGCCGGGGTGCGGGGTGCGGCCTGCGCGCCGAGCTGCACGGGCTGGGGGACTGTCCCTGCCGGTGTCTGGGGACCAAGGGCTGAGGTCTGCTCGGCCGGCGGAGCAGCCTGGGGAGGTTTCGCGCCAGGGGGTGACGGGTTCCAAGGCAGGGGTGAAAGCAGGAGGGAGCAGGACTGGGCAAAGCACACCCTTCCCCACACACGCCCGTGCATCTCCACTTGGGGAGTGTCTGTGGTGGTCGGGTGGGCGATGTGGTGGGGGAGGTAGAGGTGCGGGAGCGGGTCCCCACTCGCTGACCGACACCTGGGCTGCACCTGACCAAGAACCTGGGCTGAGAAGACTTGTGTCCGCCCCAGCGCCGCCGGCCTCAGCTGCCCCCGCGTCGCTGGCCGGTCAGCCTCTCCCCCCTGCCCACCTCGGGCTGCTGAGCGCCTCTTCTGCCTCCACCCCAGTCCTGGGGTCCCTGCGCGGGCAGGTCAGGGACGCCACCTTAAGCGCAGCCAGGTAGGAACAACGTGTTTGCCCTGGTTTGCTTTTCCTCCCTCTTTCTCGCCTTTCGCTTCTGTTCTGTGCTCCTTCCCACTCAGTCCTTCGCGAATTTATGAAACTGCAATTTTTATGTTTCTACTCCCCCTACCCAAACGTCAGGGTAAATCGAGGCGATAGCGCCGATTGTGCGTGGGCAGGTGGCTTTTGCGCTTTTTGTGCTGGGGCGCCGAGTCCACGCCCCGAGCAGAGGATGCTGCGGCCGCTTGAATGCAGGTGCCCCCCTTGCAGCCGCACAGCCCGCTCCCAGGCCAGGGGCTGGGTGTCCATCACCTTGTCACCCCTCGCGTCCCCTTCCCCCGGGGAACATCTGGGCAGCTTTCGGCCCAGATTACCAGGCCCTGGAATAAACACTTTAAACTCCCTTCTTGGAGAGCAGCAAAGCCCAACATCCACGGCAGGGGCGCACAGACAGACGCTACTATCTGGCCTAGGAGCTGAGATGCGGGTGGGAGCGCAGGTGGGGTGGCAGAGCGAGCGGAGATTGCTTTTCGAACGCGTGGAAGGCTGCCATCTAGAGACTTGAAGTATTTCTATTCGGTAAGGAAACAGAGCTGCCCCATCCCTCTGGCACTTCCTCTGCAGCCTGCTGGGGCTGTGGAGTGGCAATGGTTTCCGAAAGGACCAGCCTGGTTTCAATGAGTGGCCGGAAACTGCCCTGGGGGAAGAATCTCTAACCCCCGGGTCCCAAGGAGGTCAACCTTCCAGTAACTCTCTCCATTCTGCCCCGATGTGTGAAAAGGACCTTCTGTACTGCAGACTTTTTTATAACTTAAAAAAAATCGCCGATGATTTTTAGGGATAAGCTTGAGACATTTTGAAAGCCACGGAAACTGTAGAATTGCGTTCTGCAAAGTCTATTATATTGCTGCCTAAGGTGATTAAAAATGAATTAGTGAATTATGTGGGTCCAACAGAGACACTTTCTGTAAGAGGTTGTACCTACATCAATATTGCTGTGACTGAATCAGGATTATGTTTCTATTCAAAGCTTGGACATTTTCTAAACTAGTAGGAATAAGTTAGCCAATGATTCCTTACAATTTTTTCTAGTGCAGTTCTGTCAATTGATCTAATAAAGAACAAAGCAAATGCAATGCTTTTTGCTCTGCTTCTTCTAGAAACCTAGGAAAATGCTAATATAGATTTAACATCAGCTCCAGTATTAAAGCTTTTGAACGTTAACTGTTCACCAACACACATCACATTTCCACAAATCAGTTATTTTAACAACATCCTTATTCATATAAAAATATTCATTTAACTCCAGTAGATGGGTTAATTTATGTTTTATTTTATTGGAATACAAGAAAATCGTTTCCTTCCTATCAATATTTTATTACAAGTCATATGTATTAATATGTAAAAATAAACTAAAATTTAAAAGTGGTATGTGGAAATATATTAGTTATACCACTTGTCCACAAAATTTTGGGGGAAAAAATCGGTGACTGGACACAGTGTGCAAGCTTTTTGAAAACAGCAATGATCAAGAGGAATCGAATTGTGATCAATCAAGATTTCTGTTGTGTATATCTGTATTTTCAGTATCTAACAAAATTTATTTGGTGATTATATATCATTCTCTTAAGAATTATAAAGAATTTATGGCATTCTGTTGAACAACTAGACAGAGAAAACAAGAAGTCTTACTGATATATAAAGTTAATTATAGGATATATTTTTTATATGTTGGCTTAATCTTTTCCTGAAGTTCTCAGTAAATCAAAGATATAAATGACTAAAATTTTAATCAGGCAATATTCTGTGAATATTATTTCATTCATATACCTGATAAATTTTGAAGCATGATTTTTAAAATTGGGGTCACTTATGGTCATTTGAGTTATTAACTCATAATACTTTACTTCTGTGAAAACTCCAATTAGTTTTGGTGATGAATATTTTTTATTTTTAAATGTTCAATAAAATATATGGATTATATCAAATAGTCCTTTAAAACACCAGTTCTCAAAAATAAAATATGCCTCCAATCATGAAGCCAAGCTGTTGAGAGATGAAAAATTATCTTGGCAGTTGTTTTATAGACCCACAACCAAGAGTTCTCTGACTAGTAGTGCAGTTCAAGAAAAAGAAAAATGGAAAATTATTTTAGATGTATAAGTGTTGGTAGAGTCCCTTTAGTGATCTGTTTCACAAAAAATATATATATATTTATTTGACTTGCTAAGTCACACAACCAGGTATTATGAAAACAGTGTGAATCCAAGGGTCTCATCCAGTGTGTTTTCTTATGTGTACGTTGTACTATATACAGTAGTAATAGAAGGAAAGCTGGACTCATTAGTAACTAGTGTGTATACAGTCAGGTTTATATTTTATCATGTTACCCCATAGATGAAAGTATTTGATCACAACCCTCCTTTGAGTTAGCGATGATGGATATAATTTGCTCTATTTCTTAGGTGAAAACTTTGAAGCAGAAGGAAATTAAGCAAAGGAAATAATTAGATTAAAAAAACACACAATACTACGGAGCAGAGGTAGGTGATCCAAAAGTTCTTTTGGTTCCAGGCAGTTTTCTTACTCTTGCATTAATTGAAAATCCAAACTTTATTTCAAATGGGGGGGGGCGTATTCTGAAGAACAGATTATGCAAACACTGATATCATTAGAACATACAAGGGCAGCCCAAAAACAAGATTATCTTTTAAATTTAAGACATACTGAAATTATCACTTTTGCAAACAGAAATAATTTTCTCCGTGGGACCTATCTAACCTAGAACTGGAAGTTTAAAAAAGGGACCCTCTCTTATTCCCTAAATTACTTGAATTTTTATAGTGTATGATTTCCTTTTCCTTTCCTTCTCTTTCCTTCTTCCTCTTCCTACTTCTTTGCTTGTTCTTCCCAAATTCTATTTCAATACTGAATTTTTATATGACAATTTGAGTGATAAATTCATCTAAGATAAACTTTTTTAAAATGAAGTACTTTATTTTATTATTATTATTATTTTTTTTTTATAGAGGCATGTTTTCTTTCTTTCTTTATTTGTTTGTTTGTTTGTTTATACAAGCACTGGGTACAGTCAGAAGCGCGGGAGGGTGAGAGAATTCACCAGAGCCAGAACAGAGAACAGAGCAGGCAGAAGGACCGAAGTACACTGCTGAGGGGAGCAGCGGGCGGCAGGAGAGGTCTGGGCGCCATGCGTGACCCTCCTCTGGTGGCCGGGAAGCAGCTGGGGATCGAACTGGCGCCTCAGAGGCCAAGGGCAGCTTCGCAACCCAGCGCTCAACCGCTGCGCCACCGGGGAGGCCCTAAAATGAAATACTTTAATTCATATTTCCTGTCAGTTTATGTTAGCCAAACCTGCATCTAATCTAAAAACATTTTTTTTTAAAGATTTATTTATTTATTTATACAAGCACTGGGTACAGTCAGAAGCGCGGGAGGGTGAGAGAATTCACCAGAGCTAGAGCAGGGAGCAGAGCAAGCAGAAGGACCAAAGCACACTGCTGAGGGGAGCAGCGGGCTGCAGGAGAGGTCTACGTGCCATGTGGGACCTCCTTCCGTGGCCAGGGAGCAGCGGGGGATCGAACCGGCACTGCAGAGGCTGCAGGCAGCTTTGCAACCCAGCGCTCAACCGCTGCGCCACTGGGGAGGCCCTAATCTAAAAACATTTTATTAAGCCCTATTAGAATCTCAAGATTTCATCTCTAACTATGTTAGTTCAGGGGAAAAACAACTGGATATTTAAATGGAGCAAACAACTCAAAGCTGTCAGCTACACTATGATCTTCCATTAACAAGTGAGAGGCAGTGTTTTAAGTCCACAGGAAGGAGAAATTCAAGAGCACATTTACAGCTCTGTCCTACTTTCCACACCACCTTTTTCAGAAAGATTGATCCATCACCCTGAACAAATGGAAAATCAGGGACAAATATTCGATACTGTCTTAAGTGTAAATTTTAGATCATTCTTTATCCTAGAATGCATGATCCCTTCAATACCTGTGATGATGTTGCCATACACCTAATTCATAAATCTCAAGGAAACACAGTCTCAAATTCTAAGAAGAGGAAATGGGCGAGCAATGTATTCAGTACCTAGAATCTTGGTGTTTAGTGGTGATTTGAAATCAATGGCCATGACTGTCTGGGCACCGTGACTGACTTGTTGTTTCCTAATCTCCTTCTGGATCTGATGGCATATACCCTATTTTCATGGATCTTCTAGATCCCTTTCACTTCTAGCCTTCTATAACGTCATGCCATGTAATATAGCAGTGACTCCCAATTGGGCACAATGGGATGTATGCTTACTCTTTAGAAAGCTCTTGAAAGAGACAGACAGGTGAAACCAAGGTATCAAAGAGTTGAAACAACACACACCTGTCCAAAAGAAAGCCCAGCTTATGGATGGGTTCACTTGTTTTTAATGTCCTCCACAGTTAGCATAGCATATACGTACAGAAGGTACATGAAAGCTTGCTCTTTTATTAAGAATACAGCATGATGGTGAAAATCCTGGATCCCCCTCTCACTGACTCATGGCTTTCCACTCTGGAGCAAATGCTTATAGACTGTCACTTCCTTTCATCATCTACAGACTATGAACAATAAACCTTTTCAAACCCTTGAAGAGTTTCTTGTAAAAATTGAGAGCACCTATGATTGGTATACAAAAGTTTACCTCTAGCCAAATAGTGAAGTATTTCCTTCCAGAGGGCCACATAGATTTAAAGAACATTTGAATTTCATGGTCCTGGAGAAGATGGTCTTGGCTAATACAATATTACAATCCCCCTGCTCCTGGACCCACCAATTCCACTGATTCATTCAAAACACCCAAGAAGCTGAAATTCCTCCTCTTCAGTCTGTTCTTTGACTCACTCTGTCTTCCCAAAGCAATGAAGGTTTTTATATCAAAGACCTTATCTGACAGATGAGGGGGGCCTGGCAGGTCCCACTGCTCTTCTCCTAAGTTAAAGTCCAGACTTTAACTCAGGACTAGGAGCCTCCCTCTCCCATCAGCCACTGTACCCCCTGCTCCTGAAATCTTTCTCACGCTCTGTTTCAATAGAGTTCAGACATTAACTCAGTCTCTCTCCCTGATTGCAATTGGCGCCCATGGACCTGGGCTCCTAGCACCAGCCATAGTCCCTTTGCCTTCCCAAACAAGAAATCAGTCCTTAGAAATACTAGGGAGGACATAGAAGTGAAGTACATGGTTTCTTGTAAAAAATGAGGAAGGAGAAGAAACCAAGAGTTTGTTGGCAGAAAACCCTATAATCCAATAATCTGGAAAGACATTTCTCTCAGCTTAATTTCATGTCCAAGATCATCCTCCTACCTCTAAGACCAGACTTACCTTTCTTACAGCATTTTCCTTAGAAAACATGTACCTTTAAATTCCTTTCAGCCCCATTGAAGTATACATTCTTTTAAAGTCTCTTGTCAATTTACAATGCAGGAATGTCTTTCTTAAGGACCTGGACACCATCTCTTTAAATGTGCATATCAAAAGGGATCTCTTCCCTATACTCTACTTTCTGTGGGAGGAAAGGAACCTAATTTCTGTGGGCACCTTGCCTCAAGTTATAAAACTATCTGGTGTCATGAAGATATGAGATAGTATATTTTGGAGGGCTAAAGGTCAATTAACAAACACAGATGGACTAGGAGCCTCCCTCTCCCATCAGCCACCATACCCCCTGCTCCTGAAATGATTCTCACCCTCTGTTTCAATAGAGTTCAGACTTTAACTCAGTCTCTCTCCCCAGTTGCAATAGGCTTGAACAAAGTCTAGCTTACCTGTTCAACTTTTACTGGTACAAGTTTTGCTTTGCCATCACGTTTAAGAACCTAGTTAATGCCTAAATTTGTAGGACAGTCTAGTCCTACAGTCTAGACTGGACTCCTAACTATATGCCCACTCATTTATAGATGACTTCACCCCGTCAGTCTTCATCCCCTCGCCTTGTTTTGGTAGCAAGCCCTTGGCATCTTCTGGTATCTCCGTGTGTACTGTGGTGGTCAGAACAGGGAGGGAAGCGAGCCCAGGATGGAACCTTGGCAATTCATTCTAGTCCCATTCCTGCTTTGAGCAGATGAGGCTGTGAAATTGGGTGAAAATATCAAGCCAACATCCTTGATATTCTTCCCTAGCTTGTTACATGAGATATCAGAGAATGGAATAGATAGCAAAGTATATTGAAAGTAAGACCACCATCTACATGCCAAGTCTTGACAGCAAGCATCCCACATGTGGTTAATCATCAGCTCCCAACCACAGGTGCTGTGTTTGTCCACTCCTCTCCTGTCTTCCAGAGAGACCACTGCTGTCTATAAGAGAGCCACACCAGGAGGGAGACAAGTCCAGATATAATTCATTGCAAAGTTACTTGAAAATAGTTTCTGGAATAATCAAAATCAAGATTGTGGATTATTTTTATTTAAAATAATCCCTCAGTCTTCACCCCTCAATCACTGTATCTTCGCTTATCACACATAAGGGCGCATTGAATACTTTCACTGATAACAAGAACGCAAAGAAGGGAATAGGTTGCAGTTTTATTTACAGAGTAAAACTGGAAGGATTTGATAATGTGTCAGATATGAAGGTGAGGGGTAAATAATTCAAAGATAAATCCCAAGGTGTATTAGTTTAGATAATTTGTATTGATTCCAATGGCGAGAGCTGAGCTGAATATTCACGGAGAAAATCAAATCAGATGGAAATAAGTTAAATTTGAGATAGATGCAAAACATATGGATGGAGACATCCAGCAGATTGTTGGGTATTCAATTCTGAAATTCAGGGGAAAGGTTTGGAGTGAGAGAATGAATTGAGACCAAAAGCATCAGAGGGATGAGATGTCTTGGGAGAACTGGTTAAGTCAGAACAGCTTTACTTTTCTCACTGCCAATTCAAATCCTGCTGACTTCTGAATCCTTTGGTGTTTCTCTGAATTTCCTTGTGGGTCCCATATTCATTCTGTAGAATTAATAATGGAACTCAGTTTGCCCTTCCTTATGTCCTAGGACATACCTTAAACTTGTTTCTGGTTCTTCGCACCCCTGCTTAAGTTAACTAACTCCAGACTATGCTGGAAAAGAAAGATCTAAAGTGCAGTGACAATTATCTTACATGAGCATAGTTTATTTTCACATAGCCCTTTCAGCTCTGAAAATAGAAAAGTAAGTGAAGAATGCAGTTAGCAGACAGTTTGGACAATAGATATGACTTTGTTCCAACAGTGATCAACACTGAACTCAGTCACTGATTAAATCCACTAGATCACAACTCTGTTCTCCCTGCTGCTTTGCTTTAATTCAAAGTCATGGATAAAAACAATGCTGGGGTTGTGTTGTCCATTCTGCAGCATAGCCCCTGACCTTTTGCAAGCATATCACTCATAACGAGCTTTGCTAAGCTTGGCATGCTCTTGTGCCCCTGGCATTTCCACAGTAGTCTTATGCATTCTGCAGCCGCCTAATAACAGTGGCTTAATAAATAGTAGCAGTGTTTAAAATTTGG